TAATATGTAACCATATTCAAAATTAAATTCGCATAACGGCGTCGCGAGAAAAGAGCCAAAAAGTCAAGAAAATATAAAAAGAAAGAAAGCATATTACAAGAGCTTAAATCTCTCGAGACAAAGACAAAAAGAGAAATAAAAAGACAGAAAAGAGAAAAAGACAAAAAGAAAGAGAAAGACATAAGACACACATGAAACAACAAAAAAGTTGAAAAGACAAAGATGCGAGAAGATGATGGGATATATAGAAAATTCCCTAAAAGAGAAAAAGAGAGAGAAAGCGAAGCAGAAGATATTAATAAGAAAACCAAGAAAGAATGAGGGCTGAATAGAAAAACACGGAAAGAAGGGAAAAATAAAGAGGTGAAGGAAATAAAAAAGAAGAAAATGAGGTAAAGAGGATAGGAGAGCGAGTTGAGTAAAAGAAAGAAGAGAGGATAACAAAGATGTTAAAGATTTAATTGGAAAAGGAATAAAAGAGGTCCTAAGAAAAGAAACAAAAGAAGAAAAGAGTGAAATACAAAAGCATGTTAAACGAAAGAGAAGGACGAGTTGAAACAGAAAAAAAAGGAGAGAGAAGAGTTGAGAGAGTGGGAAATCCGACAGAAAAGAGAGAGAGTGGGAGAAGAGAACGTAAGCGAGAGGGAGTGCGGGAAGGGGGAGAGAAACAAGGGAGAGTGAGAGCGAAAGAGAGAGAAGAAAGTAGTGAGAAGAGAAAGAAAGAGAGTGAATGAGTGAGTGAGGTGAGTTGTGAGTGATGTTCGAGTGATGATGATGGACAGGGGGTGGGTGGTGGGTATGGGTGAGTGAGTGAGTGAGTGTGAGTGAGTGAGTGAGGAGTGAGTGAGTGAGTGAGTGAGTGAGAAGAGAAGAGAGAGAGAGAGAGAAGAGAGAGAGAGAGAGAGAGAGAGAGGAGAGGAGACGAGAGAGGATGAAGAGGAGAGGAGGAGATACTATAGAGTGGGAGAAGGAGAGAGAGGTGAGCCAGAAAAGAAATATATATATATATTGAGTAATAAATATATTATATATATAATAACACCACACATATACTCATATTACTATATATACTCCATATTAATATACATATATATAACCAGTATATACATATATACATTATAAGTAATAATATATAATATTATATTAATAGATAAATATAAGAGAGAAGAGAGAGAGAAGGAGAAGAGAGAGAAGCAGTAGAGAAGAGAGAAAGAGAGAGAGAGCAGAGAGAGAGAGAGAGAGAGATAGAAGGGAGAAGAAGAGAGAGAGAGAGGAAGAGAGAGAGAGAGGGGAGAGAGAGAGGAGAGAAAGAGAAGGTGAAGAGAGAGAGGAGAGAGGCAATGGAGAAGAGTAGGACGAGAGGAGGGAGGTAGGGAGGGATGGGAGGTGAGGAAGGGTACGGGAGGGAGGAAAGGAGGGAGGGGGAGGGGGAGGAGGGAGAAGAGAAGAGAGAGAAGAGAGAGAGAGAGAGATATATATATATATATATATATATAGGAGACGGGTGAGAGAGAGAGGAGAGAAGAAGGGAGGAGGAGGTATGGGAGGAGGAGAGGAGGGAGGAGAGGAGGGAGGAAGAGGAGGGAGGGGAGGGAGGGAGGGAGAGGAAGGAGGGAGGAGGGAGGGGAGGGAGAGGGAGGGAGGGAGGTGAGGGAGGGTAGAGAGAGAGAGAGAGAGAGAGAGAAGAGAGAGAGAGAGAGAGAGAGAGAGAGAGAGAGAGAGAGAGAGAGAAGAGAAGAGAGAGAGAGAGAGGGGGGGAGGGGGGGGGGGAGGGGAGAGGTATTTTAATTAGCTGGGCATATTTTTAGTTTCAAATTCAAATATCAGTCTGGGTAACCTCTGAAACAATTAAGCAGGAAGCGTGGTTGTAATAACAAAAATGCTAATGCCGCCATTCCAGAATAAGAGTAGTATTGCCATAAGAACCGAAACGAATAAAATTAAAATATTAAGAGTGCCGCCCCGACCCTCCCCCTGCCCCCTGGCCCTGGCACCCCGGCCACGGCGCTTCTGTCTAATGTGGTCGGCGAAGGTAAGCCATGTAGTTAAACCTGTAAGCGACTTATAACACTGGGCTTTTACTGGCTGTAAATAATCATGCTTAAGCGATTTACCTTGCCCGCCCCGGAAAATGCTAAGTGGGTGCCGCATACAGCGAGCCGACGGCAGGTGCCAGTGCCAACGGAAGACCCGGGGGGGTGAACCTCGCCTGCTGACGCTACTGCACCGGATCGCCGCCTGACAAGATATCCTGGCTGGTATGTGTAGCTGCCGTGCTGACATGACCTCATGCTGATCCTGGCAACCAAACTGCTGCCCTTAACAACTTCATCTTCGACCAACTAAGAACTGACAACAACACCCGCCCCGTTTACACCACGACTCCCGGCCGTTACACATTCGCCGTCCAGCAAAACGGCGGCATAAAACGTATATTCGAAAAAAGATTTAGAATCTATTCCTAAATGCTAGAAATAATAAACCGTATCTGGAATGTCAC